GAAAAGATCTTCAGCACTGACTCACAGGGTTTGTCTATAAATGACTCTCACTTAACTGCAGCTGAATGAAGTCAGTAAAGTCAGATAGTTTTCCTTATGGGCATCTGATTAAAAAGGGCAGTTATACCTCCACAATAAAACCAATGAAGCAGTGCTAATTGTTTGTTTTCTCTTTTTTAGAATGAAAGGATAAAACCCAAGTGAACCAAAACGTAACCCGCACTGTTAGGACTTCCCTGTATAAAGTAAATGATTACACCGATGTTCAGAGTATGTGATTTTATACATGTTATATTATTCAACAGTCCGTTCGTACAGCAGACACTTGGACATGTCACAGTAGGCAAAGGTTTCAGGGTCCTGGTGTTGTTCATGATGACTCCCTGTCATGTCTTAACGGAATACTTGAACTGAATAAATCCAATGTAATGTTATTTGTGATTATGTTATCAGTAACACTTGTAGGACGTACATCTTAACAGCTTCACACTTGGCATGTGTATTTTAAATTGCCCAAGAAAGTACCGTGCCAAGTTTGTTATGTTCAGACATGTGATAAGATCAATAATTTGATAATTCAATAATTTTATTTCTCCATATTGGACTGACACAGACGGTCATATAGGGATGGTGGGTGCTGATCTCTGTAATGGCAAAAAACATTCACAGAATCACGTCTTCTTTAGCAAGATGTCATCAAAGTAAAAGCATGTTTGTTTTGTTGCTGTAATGCTTTTTATTGAGTTAAATTACAGAGCTTTTATTTTGAAAAAATGCAAACTTGGGTCTGAAGATTGTTACGATTGCTTAACAGACCTCTGAAATAGCTGACGTAATGAATGGTTCATTAATCATTCAAACTTCTATATAAGCCAATTTGACAAACATTGACTATAAAAACTTCATTGCAGATGAACAGGCAGATGCTGAGTCAGGGTCTGCTCGAGGTTTCTTCCAGTTCATGGTGGAGTTTTTTCTTTCTACAGTTCCTTCGACTGTTGGGTTTCTGTATAAATAATGCATGTTAAGTGCCTTGATGTATGTTATGATTTGGCACTATATAAATAAAATTTAATTAAGAACACCCATAGGTGTATGGGTATGTCTGCAAGTTTGATATATTATTTATTTATCTCACTGGCTCATTTTTCACACACTATGAAGACTTCTCATTTTACTTTACAGTCAAAGATTTGTACTGTGTATTTCTTCAGGATCCAAACGTGTGTTTGTTGTTACCACTGGGTTTTGGATGTGATGCAACATTTAGGAAGCCAATTCAGCAAAAAGGGCCAGGGATGCTCACACAGGTGTGCTGTCAATTGCTTTACAGAACTCTAAAATAATAATAATAATACATTTGATTTATAGGCACCTTTTAAAGCACTCATGGCCGCCTTACAAAGCAGATAAAAACACAACAACATAAGAAACAATGTATCAAAAACATCAATAAAATGAATAAAATGAAATGAACAGTGAATAAGAAATGGAAGATATAAAATAGCCGACATGTAAATAATAATAATAAAAAAAAGTAATTCATTGAAACTAAACCACTTCTGAGAATGGAAATAAATCAAATCCAGGTTCATTTTATGAAAAACATTGACTATAAACTCTTCACTGCAGGTAAACCAGTTAGGATGAACACAAAGTTTCCTAACTTCACTCTGCACTGTAGACAAGCTCTGCACACAATGTTCAGGAAGTAAACAAGACTCACTAATGACAAGGAATAATTCTGAAGTATCTCCGGAGCATTAACACAGGCCAAGCAAACATCCCATTCCAATCAGGCAGGTTTAGAACGGGCACTGCACAAGTCTTAATTAACTATTAGCTGTGGACAAACTGTACAAGCAAGTGAGGAGTTCCACAGGAGGTGACTGACTGTCTCCATGTGTCAAATAACAAACGCATGTGTCCACTTCCAGCTCAGTAAAGCTGACTCTCCAGTGGCAACACCGCTCTCATTGCTATTGGCTGACAGGAGGACATCAAGCCGTCATTCAGCTGTAAGAGGACACTCAGAGAGCCCCGCCCACCTGCACCTGCCCCCCCCGGGTGGTCCTGCGGGTCAGAGAGAAACTGTGCAGCAGCAGCAGAGAGGAGAGGAGGGGTCCCACTGTCAGGTCAGACAACTCAACACTGCTCTACTCCTGTTTTATTTCTTTATGTTCACTATTAACCTCTGTTATTTTAAGACCTGTCTCCTGTTATATAATCAGCTCTACCTACAGCTTTTCAAGTTCAATTGGAAAGTTTGCCAACATGCGGCTTCACAATGTCATAGTTTTAAATAGATAAGGGCATTATCAGGTCAGAAACAGTTTGTTGAAGCTTGAAGTTGAAACTGTATTTGTGTTCATTAATTTTTGAGTCTTAAGTGTGCAACAAAGATGTAAAATGAAACTGGATCTATATGAATAAATTGTCACAGTTAGATAAATCAACTGATTGTCTATCTTATACGAGGAAATCGGTGGACACAAAGAGATGAACAGAAAGAGGAGATAAATCCTTAATTCTGTTTAAGCTTCAGTTTCTCCTGCTTGTCCCAGCAGGTGTTCAGAGCTACACTACAGCCTCACAGAAGTGAACAACTTTTAACTGTTATCAATCCTTATTTAATTTTTAAATGTGCTTCATGCAGACTCAATTTATCCTCAGTAAACAGTGAAGTGACCTTATTCCATTGTAAAATTGTTATTCTTACATCAGGGATTCATAACTGAGACAGTTACTGACTTTTAATGACTATTTGTTAATTAAGTACAAATCTTTTATTGCACAGCTTGAATATATAATAATTATTATTATTATTGACCTTACTGACCTTGTTTGGAGTGACCTGCATCTCAACATTTATGTGAGAGTTTGAATTCAATGTTTACATGCAAATAATGTTGTGGTCATTTGTGAAACATCTCTTTCCTTAGACGTTTTAAATCACATCTGTTAATAAATGTATGAATCCTCAGAAAGTTATGTAACTTTAAATCTTCTCTGTATAAGACTGTTATTATTTTGTTTGCAAAGGGTCCATATGTTGTGTGCACTGGACAAATGAAAGCAGGTTTAGAACTTCAGGTTCTATAGGAATGCATGGAGAAGTCGACATGCTGCATCTCATACATAGTGTGACACAGTTCACTGCATTGATTATCAACGTAGATTAATATGGTTTTGATACATTTGCTATCGATTCGTATATCAGAGAATAATGAATTTGATTCAGACAGTCAGGTATTGTGCACATGGTATTCACACTGATCTGCCCACATGGTCACTCTGACCGTAGCTGGCAGACAGATGGTTTACACAGATTAACTACCTCATGAGCAGATTAGCTCAGTTTACCCACTGCTTTACTGGCTGGTTCCCTGACTGACAGCCTCACAGAAGAGAGCGAAGTCGTTTATTTATTACTTACAGGCAGGCTGGAATATGTGTTTCACTTCAGTGAGCACACGATGTGACTGTCTGACTGGTAGTGTGTGTGTGTGTGACTGGAGGTGGGTCAGAGGAGCCCCTGCCTCAGGCTGACGGGCTCCATGTCTTGTTTGAGGGAGTTGGGGCAGAATAACACGTAGTCCCTGTACCTCCGTGTGGACACAAGGGTTTGTTAAGAGGACACAGAGCAAAATTAATCCGAGACCCTTTACTCCTGGCTGATCTGGGCTGAAGAAATGTTAGGTTACTCCTGAAGTCATGTTGTTCATAATTGCTGTCGTTTCATGCAAGAATGGGGTAAAATACCTGAATGATTAAATATTGATGTCAAATATATTGTGCAGTAAATGTACTGTAGACCAGCTAACTTAGTTTGAACTCTTTGGTAAATAGTGACCTGGAAGAAGAAGCAGTAAATGTGTATGCTCCCTTCTGGGAATGTGCTCCACCCCCATGACCCCTTTATAGGCCTACACATAAACATGCATGAACCCCCACTATTAACTCTCCTGACCCACATCTATATTAAACACAGAGCGTCTCTGACTCCCACAGTACACACAGCTGACTCTGCACATTTACTTTTATTAAAAGAAAAGACCACTACACACAGAAGTTGTATATGAAGCATCATCAAGAAGTAAGAAAGCTCAGCTCCTTACTATTCTACTGTTAAATACATGTATTCAGACTCCACCACATATGTCATGTATACTTTACATTTTAAGAGTAAGAAGATGAAGAAGTCCTTTATTAGTCCCACAATGAAGAAATCTGCAGGATTACAGCAGCAAGAGTCAAAGACATCAGCAAGTAGTAAGTGACAATAATTAAGTGTAAGGAAGATACAAATATAGAAAAATATAGAAACGAATGAATGTAATTAAACTAGTTTATACACTGTGTAATATACAGTGTAAAGACAGCAAGAAAGACAGCAAAAATATACACAGTATATACTGTACATATTGAAATGCTAAATTACCTCAGGGTTAAAAAAGCACCTCAAGAGGTGACAAAGGTTCCTCATAAAGGTGACGTGCTTAAATTGTAAACAAACAATAGCGGTATGTAATCTGAGACAATGTAAGAGTCAGATCTGACCCAGCATTTGAATGACAATTTCAGTAGCTGACAAATTTTGATTTTATGTTGCCATGGATAGAGTTCAGATAGGACACAATTAGTATTTAGCTTTAACACCTAGCCCTAGTAAAACACATGAGAACTATTCTGTTATTTCTGCTAATGAATGAAAGAACCATCAGATCATAGAATGCTGAAAAAACAAAACCGTGTAAAACCACAACAATGGTTTTTATTACACCGGGACAGCTGGACCAGTACGATGTCAACACCCCCCCAGCAGACAGCCCATTGACCCACTGGATATTAATAAAGTTTGACCCCGCAGAATATAAAAAGCCAGAGAGCTGTATTTATGAATGGGAAGTCCCACATACTGTATACTCCAGTTAGCAGGGAGCCTGACTTCAATTTGATCTAACAGAGACTCTATGTGGCAGACTGCCAGTCTGATGGAAGAAAGGGGAGACACACACACACGCACACACACACACACACACACACACACACACACACAGCTGCTGTAATTTAAGGAGTCTTGTAAATCAGGGGTCCGGTCAGACAGTCGTCTCCTGAGGTAATAGATTGACAAAGTGAGGACACAGAGCTGAGGCTGAGGTGGCTCCAGTTTAGAGTAACAATAACAAGGTGCCTGTAGTCGTGCTGGAGGGAAGAGAAGCACCTCCAGCTGAAGGAAGATGGTGACTGTCAGCTTTCTTTGAACGATTGTCTTGTCAGGTTGGACAGTGCAGAAGCATTGATAATAGGTTGATGGGTTAGTGTAACTGTGATGTCAAAAAAATCTGAGATCTGATTTATTACATAAGACAGGTTTCACTGTTTTCAGACATCTGTTCAAATGACAAAACCTCACTAGAAAAACCACTAGATACCACTCAATGTGTGGTGAATGTTAACTTACTGTATGTAGAAGGAAGTACAGAGCATGGGCCAATACTGGATACTCTAACATTTATAGTTTAAGGGACAGAATATGTAACGAATTGTGATTTGTGAACATGGGCTATACAAATAAAATCTGATTGATTGATTGACAAGATAGTATGCAGTGTGTGTTTCAAATATAAGACAAAGTGTTTCCTCCTCGGTGTAACATGATTTACATGCACAGATATTCAATTAGCTATATTTTAACTCATTGACAAAAAAACACATGGCAGCTTCTTTTGGAGCTTAATCTGGTTTTGATGTATCTGTCTGCAGTAGCACTTGTAAAAGGCAATGCACACAGAAGAAGTGTTGAGTAAATGTGTGCTGAACCTGTGTTTATCAAGACTGCTCACAGCTTAAATTTGAATGTTTTACCGTTTTATCTTAGCGTTGTTGGCTGCTGACCGAATATTTGATGTATATATTCAAGTTCATGTTATACATGAGATCTAAGTTGGACTTGTCCTCGTTGATTAATGGTTGTATCCACTGGAATGGTCGTTTGTAGTCCTCCTTGCAATGTAATGGAATAGAATGAAATACAATACTGGATATATGCAACATATTACACCAAAGTCAATCCGATGGTTCTTTGGAAATGTGAATGACTATAAACTTGTGAAATCAGTTCCATCACAGTTGTGTGGCTTACATAGATAATCAGTGCAGAATGCAGAAAATGCTGTCTGATGATTTTCTCTCTTTCCCTCTCTCTCCCAAAGCAGCATGGAGGAGTCTGACTTGCTGAAGGAGAGGCTCCAAGCTATCACTGTAATACTCTACTCATCTCATTTCAGTTTTGTAGCCACAGCCATCTGCTATATCTAACCAACCTAAACATCAATTTCTGTTTGAGGACATAATAGCACAGAGAAGTAATAAGGAACATTTTGCAAAAGAACATAACCTATATCTGTATTGCTTCTGTCATCTTCAGTTTATTGGAATCTGTTATAAACAACGACTTAAGTCGCTAATGTAAACTGTTTGTCTTTGGTAAATTAGGAGAAGCACCGCATTCAGGAAGACATTAGACAGAAGAAACTGGAACTGGACCGAGAGAAACTGAAACTACAGCATCTAAAGGTTCAGCACATGTTTATCTTTCTGAATAAATCTGTAGATGGATGAGTATTATTTCTTATTAAGATGAATTAAAAAAAGACAACGGGAATTACTGTACCCATCTGTTTGACTACATGTCATTATTATTCGTCTGCTCATGATCTACATCAGTGAAGGACTGTGTCCCTCTGTCCCTTTAAACGAACAGAAAAAGGCTCTGAGAGAGCGGTGGCTTCTGCAGGACTCAGCTTCCCACAATGCAACAGGCTCTTCACAGCAACAGAGCCTTCTGTCTGACCAGCAACAGACCAGGGTGCTGCAGCTCAACATCCACAGGTGCCCAGCACTAACAAACACCACAACACGTGCCAGTGTGTGTGTCGGACCTGTTACTGACCTGCAGCGTCTCCTCTGACCCATTAGGAAAGAGATGGAGGTGGAGTTTCTGGAACGAGAGGAAACTATGATTTCCACTAACGAGGGGTTCATCCTCAACAGGCTGAAGGCTGTGGAGAAAAGCCCAGAGGAAATTATTAAGGTACACACACACACACACTGGATTTCAGAGGATATTACATTCACTGATATTGATTTCCTAGAGACTCAATCTAACCTTAACCATAGTTATCACTTGTCTAACCCTAAACATAGCCTCAATCTTAATCTAAACCTAAACCTAACCTTAACGACAACTCTAGGAGAGCATAAGATTACATTACGTGTCATTTAGCTGAGGCTTTTATCCAAAGCGACTTCCAATTAGAGCATTCAACATCTATGAGGAGCCATTCAGGGTTCAGCATCTTGCCCAAGGACACCTGGGCTGGGATTCAGCCCCTGACCTTCTGGTTGTAGGACAACCACTCTACCCCTCAGCCATAGCCGTCCCATCTTTTCATAAGGTGACAGTGTAAACAGGCCACCACACACGCACACACACACACATTGATGATTTCAGAGGATATTACATACACTCATCTGTTTCTATTACTTTGCCCTGACTCATTTGCATTTGTTTTCCAGGAGGCCCATGAAAACTTTGCCCCTGGTAAGTGGGGGAACTATTTTTCTGCATATAAGCCACACCGCAGATGAATCTATGTTAACAGTTTTGTTATTCTGTGCCACAGAACCATTACAGGTCGCCAGAGTGATCCCCGATGTCCCAGAATCCCTGTCTCCACCAGCCAATAATCACATGGAGCAAAACGCACGAAAGAGTGGGTTTTAATATTTTCACATTTCTGTAAAGTCACTCAAAGAACATTGTAATTTGTGTGGTTGTGCATATATAGGTAAAGTTTGGGATTGAGTCACAGCCCTGTGGTCTGTTGTTGATAAAACTAGCAAGTAATGCTCCACTGTTAAACTGTGTTTTGAATATCAAGCTGTAACAATGCACAAGCAGCCAGGTGTAGGTAAAAGACTCAGATCTTTACTGGGAGATGAAAAGGTCGAACACAGGTAGAAGACATGTAGCCAAAGAACTGGCATAGATAATGAAACTCATATTACCTGAACCCAGTCAGCATATACTGTATATATAATGCACTCATGACTAAGATATCTGGGGGAGACTGTGAGAGACACATCTTACTGAAGTGTGAATGAACATTTATACAGACTGTCTGTCTTCCTCCTGTGTCTCAGCTTTATTTGCCATGGAGATAAACGTGACCAAAAACATGCTCACGGGGAAGAGCACCGTCCTTTCTACAGCAACTGTCCCCCCTGAAGAGTTAAACCAACACACCGGGCTCAAGGTTTACGATGATGGCAGGAAGTGTGTCTATGCTCTGAATTCAGAAGAGGTAATCGTAAAAATTACAATCTGTATTCGAGTAGAACAAATTGCTTCAAAATGATTCATATGGGAAATGACTGGTACAAGACAAAACTAATTAAGGACAATGCAGAAATGATCTGAAACCAAATGTAAGTCCATCTAAAGAAATGAAAGATATGTCACTTTTCTCTTGGTCCTGTTAAGAGTCTGTCTTACAGGACGCTGTATTGGTTGAAAGTGTGAGTTGGTAAAGTTAGACTTACGATAATCCATTCTGCAGAAGGTAAAGACATGGATCACAATCTGATTTTAATGAAAACATCCTGAACTATATTTTTAGGAGAATCAAATGTTACAATATAAGATATTTTCCAAAATGACTGACAGGGAGCCAAGTTACTGTGTATCCCACTGCTGGTGGTAGTTTTTGTCATTGACATAGAAATTAAAATAGATGATGTGAACTCTAAACTGCCTCTGCCACTGACCTGTCTTTGTGTTGATCCATATTCCTCTCTTCTTTTAGGAGCCACATGACAAAACCTGTGTATCTGAGCTGTCGGCCAGCGAAGTGGAACAGTTGCTGAGAAGCGCAACAATGCATCGTCAAGTAAACTTTCCAAATTACCACCAGAATCCCAGAAGGAGGGAGGATCACTGTTTTTACAACCACCAAGATAAAAGAGACAGAGTGGAGAGGTGCGACGTCACTAACCATGGAGGACGCTATGGTAACCATGCCCCCCGTAACCACGCAGCAGAGGAAGACCTTGGCTGCATGCAGAGAAAACTACAGGACGAGCATCGCCATGGTCACCAGGAGCGCCTTCACAGGAGGCAGGAAGTGAGACTTAACCAAAGCAACCTGAGGGATGGTCATGGCTCTGGAAAGCACACGGGGGTGGGACTTCACTATGGCAACCAGAAAGATCATTACTACAGTTCTAACCAGGGGAGAAAGTGTCCCAGTGTTCAGGAGGATCGGCCTCCAAGTCACCACAGCAGCACTGTCATCAGGAGCAACAGTAGGATAAATGGAGTCAATGGATCCAATTGCTGTCCTCCTCCCAGATCACATGACCAGGAAGCAGTGTCGGCCTACCAACCTCAGCTCTGCTACACTCCATTAAATCACATCCCTCTTAAAGATTACATTTGTGTGGATGAAGAAGAACTTTATTGTTACAACCCACCCTCGTACCACTCTGCTCGGTACAGGGGCCCCGACCGCCCCTCTGACAGAATGCCCTCCCCCCTCTATGGAGACGACACCCCTTACACCATCCTCAATGCCATGGAGTCCACTGAGCCAATCACAGCCATCTTCATGGGTTTCCAGACAGCGCAGGATGACAGTGGGCAGGGTCAGGAGTTTGAGGGCTCTCTGAAGGCTGAGCTGGTCATCATCGAGGACAACGAAGACGATGGTGGGGAGAGCAATGTGAAGGAGAAGAATCGCCACGCCCAGCCGGGTGTTAGCAACTACTCAACAGGAAGTGCAGCCAATGGAAGTGTGGGATGTGTGGAGGGATTAGAAGGCAGACGGACAGAGGGACGGGTGGAACCAGGTATCAAAAGGATCCCGAAAAAACAAAAAACCTGCTGTTCCGTCTGCTAACTGGACTAACTCATGCATGTGCGTCTGACTCTAACTGCACAGACTAATTCATTTCATATGGTGAAAAAGCTGTTGAGGAAGACTGAGGTAGAATAAGGTTGGATGTTAGAACTCACTGACTGACGCCTCTGCTGCTTTTACGAAACGCTGACACATCTGACATCAACACACATGGGCAACTACTTAGATTTACAACTTGTTGACAAACTACTCGGATCTAGTCCTCCTATGTTGTAAATGTACACATTCTTAAAGTTCTATGACTTATTTCTGCAGAGCAGGTTAAACCAAACGGCTGCATGCACAATACAGCTCTGTGGACATAAATAACCCGTAGTTTAGTCTGACTGTTCTCATCAGTGAAAAAACACTGGTAACCCCTCTGTAAACCTACAGCAGACACACGTAGTTAGCAGTTAGCAGGTTAACATAGTTCGGCACTTAAAGGTCCAGTGTGTAAGATTTAGGTGAAAGGGATCTATTGGCAGAAATTTAATGTAGAATAATCCTCTTGATGTTTTCACTAGTTCATTTCATCTAAATTGTATGAATTGTAGTTTTCTTTACCACAGAAAAGACCCTTTATATTTAAATACTTTATATTTACATCGAGGGGACCCTCTCTACGGAGGCCGCCATGTTTTTTACATTAGTCCAGACTGGACAAACTAAACACCTTTTGAGTTTTTATGACAACTGAAGCTACCACAGTTTCTTTTTCATGTTTGGAAGGAGAGGGTGAGGTGAGGGGTGTTCAGCTGCAACATGCAATTTCAACACTAGATATCACTAAATTCTACACACTGTACCTTTAACAGCCTAACCTTTTTCATGAGCTGGTGGAGGCCAGAACACAGGAAATGTTGGATTTGAATGGACACAACCACACCATCAAATCATTGCATGTGTTGCCACATGCCAGCTAGCTGTTTGCTAACATCTTAGTCTTCATAAGTTTGTAAGGTGATATAGTCGGTGGTTCTCGGCAGCTTGTGGGGGAGATCTGCCTTCAGGTGGCAAAAAGATCAACGGCCTAAAATCAAAACCCTCCTTAAAAATGTGTCATTTTCATCTTTAGCAGAGAACGTGCTATGGTCAGGGCCCATTTTCACTGTAGAAATAAAATCTACTGGAAATTCTTAAACCCTTTACCCTTCAAGTCTAAATATGTGCAGCACAAAATGAAAAGTATTAACTGCTTTCAGTGTTTGATGAAATGAATGACACAGATCTAGTGGATGAACCGATCAGCTCAGGGTTAGATTCAGGTTTACTGCCCTCCTCTGCCTCCCTCTGTTGGTTATAATGTGGTAAGGCAAGCTTGTTCCGAATAATGAGCAGCTATCGAAACTCAATACCTATGTATCAGCTATATTAAAAGGGCTATAGTTATATGTTATAGTGCTGTTAATTATATTCTGTCTTACAAAGTAGTTTTCAGAGACAATTAGTGCTTCCCAGAGAAATAAAAGCAAATTCACATATCTCAGTTGAGTCCTGTCACTCCTATGCTGGAGTTGTAGTGTAGTTCCAATCAATTACGAAGCACATCAGACCCATATAAAAAATGAGATCTCCTTTAAACGGGATCTGAATGTGACATGTTTTGCAATAAAACCAGTGAATAAGTTCCCAAAACACACAGTGACAGCTATTTGTTCATTCACACATGTTGAGAATACCAGACACTTAATTATTCACAGATTGAAAATATATTCATATTCGAACAAGTAGAATCCATGACCAGAATAAAGCTGATGTTGACCTTTTTATACTAATTTCAGATGTTTGTACTGTGCATTTTGTATGTTGGACCACAGCGTGTGGACAACCATGTAACATGAGGCTATTAAACCTTTGTTTACTGCTTGACGTCTGCAGTTTGTCCTGTCTGTGTGAATCTAACCATCGTCACAACACTGTGTGACTGTGTGTGTGTGTTTGACATTAACATTAACCCTGGATGATGTGAATCCGATCAGATGGGCCCTAAGCAGTCCTGCTGGATACCAGCTTGTGTTAGTTTACATTGGCACTGATTCATTATATTGTGTGTGTGTGTGTGTGTGTGTGTGATGTGTGTGTGTGTGTGTGACATCCTGCAGTGTGCAGCTGACAGCATCAGGTTTAATAACATTAATGACATTAATACCTGTATCATTGGCACAGACACACAGCCAACATTAATTAGTCACTGCATACAGTGGTGGTGTTATGGTTATTGTTACGACTGCAGGACAGAACCAATCGTCAGGTTACACTGACACAAGCACTTTATTCATATCAGAGACTGTTCATCCAAGTCAGTGCTGTTTATATATAGATTTCCTGAAACTGCAGGAGAAGAATGCTGCTCAAGATGCTCTTTCATCATCAGTGGATGAAATGACTTTGTCTAGAGATGTTCTGTCAGTAGCACACAGAGTACTTCCACATAAGTGCTTCTGTGATTTCCCATCAAGTCAAGTAGTATCATAAGAGTATAAATGACTGAAGATAATTCCACTGGAGATTTTTTGTTCTTCATCAACATCTCTCTGCTGCCAAGTTCAAGTTCAATACAGTCTCTCCCATTATCAGTCTGTTTTGACACATTACCATTATTGATCGAATTAAATTACCACTAAAGTACTTGAGAAGACTGTACAGAATTTATAGGATACAGGATTTATTTCATCATCAGTAAATGAAATCATTTTGACTTTATATGTAGTTCTGACAGTAGCACACAAAGTACTTGTATAGTAACTTACTCAACACGCACCTCACACAGCTGACAAACCACAACTCAAGGTCCATTTGCTTGTTCCAGGGCTGTCAACTGAATCACACACTCCTCACTCTCGCAGATGGATTTGTTTTGACAGCTGTGTCAGCTCAGAATAATCTAAAAAGCATGTGAACATCTACCGTTCCTCAAGACCAAACTTGATCTGCTGGTGAAGACCATGTGATTCAGTCAAAAGCTCCAGAACAAGCACATAAGAGGACGTTCAGCCTCCACATCCATGTATAATCCCCATTAGGTTGTATCTTATATGGTGAAGAGTGAAGATACTAAACATGCAATAATTGTGATATTAAGTTTTAAAAAAATGTATATCTCATTGCTATAACATTTACTATTGCATGTTTCTTCCATGTAAAACACAAAGCTAGATAAATATGCATCATTTCTTTTTTTCTCATTTTGTCATCCACTGTTACTTAGACAGTGTGATTTGTGCCATGTGTTTGCATTTTGTGTCGTAAAGGAAATGCACATTCTCATGATAATAACAGTGGTTCAGTTCAGGGCCTAAATCACCATATACATTGGGGGGGACATGTCCCCCCCAATATTCAGATATGCTCAAAATGTCCCCCCCAATATCTATCTGATTAAAAAAAAAAAAAAAAGTCAGGCAACCACATACACATCCCACTGTCCGAAATAATCAATAGC